CAGGTTGTGAACGACATTGTAAAAATATTACGGTTTCTGCTGGTGTATAGAATATCTGTTTTCCCCTTTTATCTAAAACAGGAGAGATTCTAAGGTCAGTAATTCTTACTGTTTTAGGCTGTTTTTCAACTTTATTATTGAGAGCAAACAAGAAGTGGATACTAGTCTGCTTGTAAATCTGTTAATGTTGATGCTTCTGGGTTTCCTTTATTCATACAGATATGCTCTAGCATGGAGGCAGATGGAGGCTGAGGCTAAACATTGCTTCTGCTATCAGCAGTTGTTTGAAGATATGAATGCAGATACACAGATTTAAAAGATAAAGAGATGCGCCTTTTCTAGGGACCTTTAAAATGACTAGTTGCCACCAGTACAAGTAGGAGAAATCTGCTAGAGGGATGATTATATTGAATGCTGTACTGCCTTTCTTCATAAGACACCAAGAGGATGCTGATTAGTGGCTTCTAACAACAAGCATGTTTATGAAGCGGTTGGGCTTTAAAATGTTGAACAAAACCTTATGTTTGGAGAAGAGCATTTGTTGTTCATAGCATTTAAGACATATCTTAGATGTGTGACACAAGCCCTTTAAAGGTAATAAGCACACTTATTTGAGAGTAGAAGGTACTTGCTCAGATGCTGAAGATGATTAGTAAAATAGCAATGGTCATAGCCTTATTGATTATAGGGGTGTGGTTTGTAAGGAACAATAAATTTTTCAGTAGCTTGGTTTTAAAATCATTGGAGTGAAAATAACTCCCATCAATTCTGTACTGTTGCACTGCACTAGGCATAGGTCTTTACAAATCCTATCTGTGCAGATAGTCTTTTAACTTTCATTTATCACTGCACATCAAGATTATAATAGGTGACTTTGAATGTTGCAAAGAACCTTTGCTTGCACATCAGAACTTCCCCCCTCTTCTGCCTTGTATCCCTGTAGCTCCCCATCTGCTCTAGAGAGTGCCCCAACGTACTGGAGCTAATTTGAGGGGGGACATGAGGGACTGCAGTGGGGAGAGAGAATCTGTTCCACTTATGGTTCCTGTTCCATTTATGGACAGACAATTGGATACATTCCAACATTATTTTCAATTAGCATGGCATGACCTTTATGCTTTTTTATTGATGCTTACTCACAAATCACTAACATTGAGTGACATTGTGATTACTTACAGGTAAACACAATTACAGCTTAAATTGTGTAAAGTTAAATAGAACAATACTTAATTTCTCAAATTATTTTGCTGTGATTGCTCTTTGAAAATGTCTTTGTAAGGAAGTGTAGAATTACTTCAGACTTACAAGGCTGAAAATGAATAACATATCTGGTATATTTTATATATTGTGCAATCTTGAGCACTTGCTGGCTCTTTGTATTTCATCCAACTACTGTGTTGAAATTGGTCATGTCAGAAACACACTTCATTGGAGAATGAATAGGACCCTTCTGGGTATTACTCAAATTTGCTGACATTTTATTTTATTTTTGCTAAATATTTTATGCATTTGAAGAATCAGTCATTTATTGGAGTCTAGAAATTATTTTATCATATTTTATGAAATTTTTATGCTGCTCAATATTTTCCAGATAGTTATAAAGATAATTTAAGACTATAAAGATTAAACAAATGCAAAAACTAAGAATAAAATAATCATAATACAAATTAGAATAAAACTATCAGCAGCAAAAAATAATTCAGCTAAGCTAAAAAAAACCTAAAAGGTTTTAGGATTAAGGGTGCAATCTAATGCATAATTAGGCAGAAAACAATCTGGCAGTTCCTAGTGACAGGAGTGCTGGGAGTTGTGGGATGGTTTTCTGATTAAATATGCATAGAATTTCACCCCTAAATGCTTAGGAAAATAAGAAGTCCTTCTTCTGATGCTGAAACTACAATTACATGGGTAAACTTCTCTGGGGAGCTTATTCCACAGTTGGGATTCCACCATAGAAAAAGGCCTTCTGCATAATAACTAACCATCATGTTTTCTGCGATAGGAATGGAGAAATAAATAAATAAATGGTCCAAGTAGATACAGATAATCTTGAGGTTTGGTAGGTATATGTGGGAAAAAGTGATCTTTCTGGTAATCCAGTTTAGTCTAATTAGAAATATTCTGGTGCTTGATTTTTTAAACTTTGTCTTATTGAGGATTCCTTGAAACAGTTCTGAAAGAAGTTTTATATTTGTGGGAGTAGAGTTCAGTTGGGGCCATATAGCACTTAGCCTGTTCTTATGCGATTGCATCACTTGAATACATAGCAGATGTAAAGAATTTTAACTATACTGGTACAAGATATTCTGTGTTACAGTACACCACCTTTGTACAAATACTTGGCACTTCATTTATAATTGAGGTATGCCAGGGTTTGAACTATCCTGTAAGAGATGTTCCCAAACCAGAATATGTGTATTTGTGAATGGCTACTTCTCCATATCAAGTGGAATTCTGACTAAATGTGTGCAGTTGAGCCCTCACTTGCACTCTCCTGTGAGAAGTTATTTGGCTTTCTGTGGTAGTGTGTTTATGTGGGTGTCAGAGGAAGCTCCTGTGTAGACATATTCCAGGGCAAAAGAAAAAAGCTTTTTCATAATTGGGAGAGGCTACTTGTTTGGTGTCACTTCTTCTCCTCTTAGGCATTAGATAAAGCAAGGGAGTTTGACCAGACAGATTCATGAAGAGCTTTGAAGTCCTTTGAAAGAGAGATTGAAGTAATAAAAAGCATCTGAAGCATTGCTTCCTTGGGCTTGATTTTTGTCTCTGTTTGTCTGGGGTTTTAAGTTAGTGAAGAGAAAACTTTCACAAAACAAGGTCTGAGCTTGTATTTCCTTGCTGCTGTCTCCTATGGAGACTTCCCTATACTTTCAGAACTGTAAGAATGAATGAGTGTACACTGTGTCCTAAATTAATATTAAAACAATAAAACAATCCCTAGGCTGGCAACATACAAAGCATATGTGCTTGCTAGTATTATTATCTGTCTGTCTATCCCACTCAACATCCAAAGTTCTCTGTGCAATGTACAACAATTAGTTCTCTGGATGCTGTACAACTTAATAGGCCATCTCATCAAAATAAATCTTGGTTAGGTGCTTCTAGACTATAGCCTGCTCAGAATTGCTGCTGGATTGCAATTGTTTAATTCTAGCTATGTGTGTTCTTAGCTCTGAACAGTCTAATCTGTAGCGATCTGTTTGTTCTAAATATACTAGGCTGTATACAACAGCTGTTGAAATGGATTTCCTTTCTCTTGTGTAGCCTCCTATATGCTTCCCAAAGCTGCTGGTAGAATGGATTCTTCTCTGTGCACCTCCCTGTGTGCCCCATAAATTTGCTTCAGGGTGGATGCTCTACAGCTGATTTGAGGAGTGGGCTGCAGGAGGGAGGAGGTGGAAAGAAAGTCTCATTGTGCAAACAGGTTTGCTTGTATAGCATAGGATGAAACTGACTCTTTATATACACTTTTTAAAAAATACAGAAATAAAAGTTATTTTTATGGAGAAAAAAGATTCCAAGTTTTAATAGAAACCTATGTTTGTTACAGTCACTTAACGTAAACCGCACTGCCTTCATTCCTTGTTTTTCTGATGGAGAGGCTTTGTCTAGAAACCCTTAAAGAGGCAAGAGCTTTTTTACAAATACAAATTCTTGTATTCAAATGAAGAAATTTCAGGATATCTGCTGGGCTTGTGGATGAAAGTGATCACACCTAAGTTACTTCTTTGGATGCTGGCTGCATTCTTTAGCATCAACTACTTGCAAAACAGTGGTTGAGTTAACCAGCATGTGCTGCACTGTTTTTTTACTATTTATTTACATACATTTTATAATAGCAACTGTAGTGTTTTCTTTTCTAATAGATTAAAATGAATAACTTGAAATAGCTTTGCTGATTCCTGGTTTTAGGTTTGTTATTATGCTCTTCGTAAGAGAGCTTGATATCTTTACTAACTAGCTATTTTTAAATATTGGGAATACTAAAAGAATGGTACATAAAATCTGGTGCTTGATTAGACTTTTTGTTAGAATAGTCATCCATAAATGCTGTAGGTGCTACAGAAATCTAAAATCATGGCTATAAATAGTACATGTAGTTCTTTCACACTCCTCTATGTGGAGGTCAAGCAAAGTCAGTATAATCCACAGTGAAGAATTATTATTGTGATTCTTCAGTCTTGAAATATCTTCGCTCTGTGGTTTCAGGAAATATGAAGACTGAATTCCTTGTGTCTCACATTAATGGGGAAGCAAGGGTCATTAAGGTCATTAACTGTAAAGCAGACCAAGTCTGGAAATATTATTTGTTGTAAAACAAATAATACAAGTCAAACACACGTAAAGTGCAGCATTAAATCATGGCAGAACCGATTGTTTGTTTGTTTGTTAGCTTATAACTGAAAGGCAATTATAAATTCTTCTCTTGCAAAGATGGGGAGTGGAGGTGATTTGGTAGTACCAAATAACCTTTTTTCTCTGTAAAACATGTTGACTAGCATAATCAATTTCTTTAGTAGTGAACTTAGTGACCCTGTGCCAAAAAGATTGGTTCAAAAAAAGAGTAACTAAGAAATAAAAAGGGAAATATCAGAAAGTTCCGGGGAAACTTGAGGAGCATCCTTTAAGATGGTAAACTTTACACTGAAACATTTTATTGTTGAACTTATTTGTATGAACAGCTGTATGTTTGAAATATTTAGATTGTGCCTAGTACACCAATATAACACCAAAAAAGAGAGCTGTCTAAACATTGTTAAGCATTACACAGGTTTTAATTTCAGTTGTCCTTGAGAAAACACAAAACTGTAAGCTTACTATTCACCCATAACCAAAAATTTAAGATATTTGTTTCAGAAAATCATTTCTATTTAAATGTTGCCATTCCCAGCTCAGCACTGTGAAGTTGAAAAGAACTAAATTGGAATAGGGTTAGGAAGGCTATTGTTTTGCTTTTGTTTAATTAGCAAAGTCTTATGTACTGCTGTTTGTTTCTATAGCCTCTGTTTAAATGGAAACCACTTCTGAGAGATGGATAGTCTCTACTGATGTAGACTTTGCATAGCAGCTGTACCATCTCAGGAGACTGCAATGAGTGGAGGAGGGGAACAGCCAGATATCCTTGGTGTGGGAATATTGGTCAAAGAAAGATGGAAAGTGGTGAGTATATTAAATCCTCTTTATTCTTCCCCTCATGCACACAGCTGATACATGAATACAAAAATGCTCAACCAATTTTTTTTAAAGAAAAATGCAAAAACTTCAACCAAAGAGAGAAGATGTAGCCACAAAATGTACCCTGTTTGTAGGAAATGGTCAAAGATAGTGGTACAGATTGGCAGTATCAATCACTGCTCACATACTAATGGGACCAAATGCTAGGACAATGAGAAGCTAGTACTTCTTGAAGCAACCCAAAATGAGCCAAGATGCTATTTTCTGGAACCAGGCAGATCAGCAGAGCTCATGTAAGATAGTTCTTAACTGACCTGTTGTGTTTCAGAAATGGGTGCTTCATTTGTTTCTGGGGTTGCTTTAGGAAGAACTAGTGGTTGGTCCTGTGTGTGGAACAATACAAGCAAAGGCGCAGTTGCATTATTGACCACTGCCATAAATAAGTATGTGTGCATGTGCACACACACGGTCTTACACAAATTTAAAAACAAAATAAATAAGTACACATATCAGCAGGCTGCTTGCCTATTTTTAAGTACATTTGTCTTCTCTGGAATGTTTTGAGTGTGCTTCTGAATCTTGACGTTGTACTGGTCTCCAGGAATGCTTTTAACAACATGCAGCAGTTGAAAGCTCTTCAGTTTTTATTGGTCCTTTGGGGCTGTTGTTCATATATACATTTTCAATATGAAATCCTAAAGTTTGTCGGCAAAAGCTGTTGTTACTGTGTTGAGACAATGTGGTAACTCCACTGGATATGTTCACACATCAGACCAACTTGGCAATAAACTACCCTGGCCCACAGTGTGCCTGACATAGATGAACTTACTCTGGATTGTTTAACCTTGCTCCTCTGCCTTCCTGCAGGTATCCCAGGAGCTTCTCTAGGAGGATAGAGTTGTCTCTTTGCCACAATCATGAGTAATTTATGGCTCAGTGTGGCTTTTTCCTTCGTTCAGCTTTTTTCCCTTCAGATTATGAAAACTGGCAATGAAGCAATCCCCTCTTTGACAGCTACTGACAGTTCCTTCAGAGCATCCCAGTGGCACTTTTGCTATGGATGTTTTAGGAAAAAAGAGAAGTCCCATTAGATTTTTATAAACATTTGCAGAGTTTTTATCTGCACGTCCATAATGGCAGATACTTGCAGTTGTGGGAATGGAACTCTTGAATGAGCAACATTACAGGGGGTTCCTACACTTCCTTGCCATTTTTAACCCATTGTAAATCCCACTTGAAAAATAGTGCTTTACCTTTGGCAACAAGTGCATATAATTTTTAAAATTGTTTTTGCAAATATTTGTTAATATTAAGAGATAAGATAATTTTAAAATGCTTGGCAACTGCAGGCAGCCCCTCCAAGATGATGTTGGGACTTGATGTCTAGCTTTTGTGACCTGAAGATTAAAAAAAAATTAAATGGAAAAAAAACTTGTTACAAGGCCAAAATAGTTTACAGCAGGAAATGGGAAAGCCAGTGCTAGCTGCTACCAAGTGCCATTTGAGAAACTGGGGAACCTGGCATGGGCAAGTACCTGATTCCTACTGCCCTTGCCAAAGAAGCCAGTAACAGGTGTCCAGTGTCCGTAATGGGGTTGGTTGCCTGAGTCTAGACAGCACAAGCATCCATCATGGATGCAGCAACCCATAGAACAGGCCATGGATTGAGGGGGCAGAATTCCTCTCAAACAGGCCACACTGTGCAGATTGGTTCAGGTTCGCATGATGCAAAAGCCCAGCATAGGTAGCAACTCATGATTAGTTGTTGTGTTGTGCAAATCCAATCAGTGAAAGGTTGTTGAAATGTGGGTTTTTCTGTTGTCTGAATTTGGCTGTGCTAACAAATAATGGCATGTAATCCACAAACAACCCATAGTTCACAACCTCCAAAACAACCTATAGATTTTCTTCATGGGTTGGTTGTTCATGGTTAACAGACCATGGTGTATTAGTATGGTTGAGTTCAGAACATGATACCCCATGTTTCAGCAACAAGCCACATTTTTCTAACAACCCATATTCAGCTCTTGAGTGTGGGTTATCACGTTGTTTGAACCCAGCTGTTGGCGTGTATAAGCTGCCAGGGAAGTTTAGTAGCATTTGGGAAGAACGTTATAGTTTAGTCCAAAATGTTACTGGCAGCAACTTCCAGGAGAGAAGGAATTGGGAATGTTATGTTGTGGGGGAAGCAGGTAGTCTAATCTGGATTCTCTCCCAATAGCTGAAGCTGTTCTGGAGTTTGGAATCATTTGGAGTAAACATAGCTGTTCAGTCTTCCCACTTGCCCCATGTTGGCAATATGTAAACACTCTGCCTAGCGACCAGACAAGGAAGCTGCTACTTGTACTGAACTTAGTGGAAGCAGTAGTTCACTTACCTTTCCCCACCCTAAGTGAAGCATTCTTTTTCACTTTATACTAGAGCTGGGGGATGTATGGCCTTCTAGATGTTTTTGACTCCATCACACATGACTTGTTGGCTGGGGAAGACAAGGTGTTTCAGTTCTACATTATAGAAAGACCACAAGTGTTCTAGTCCTGCTCTGCAGTGCCTCCACTATGAGTGTGGATCTGTTTTTCTTTAAAGCTTTGTGGGTAGGCTGCTTTCAGATCTGTGTATACTCTATGCTGCAATATATATTAAACTTTGTACTATTGAAGGATGAGTTCTGTGAATGGTAAAGATTTTCTAAATTAAGTATGAATTCATAGGACTTCAACAAATCCAGTCAATGAAATACTGATCTGAACTGTTAATCAGTTAAAGTACAACTGGAAAGCAATTTTTAAAAAGCTTTATACAGTTTGTTACAAGCAGTTTCACAGAAAAGGTGTGGGGATGGGAAGAGACAAGGGCTTCTAAGATATGAGGTATCCTCCATCCTCTTTCCCTCCTTGTTTTGAAGCACTGCAACAAGGTGGACAAAATTGTCTTGTGTTGTAATGTGGGAGGAGCAGGGGGATGAAGATAATTTTTGCTGCTTTTCCCATTCTGCACTGAATGGTCCTCAGCCTCCAAGTGCAGAGGCTTAAGAGCACTGAGGGTACAACCATTGGCTAAGCTTTATTTAAATCTGGTGAAAATCTTAAATTTAATGTGTTCTACTATCCATACTACTTACCATAATTCTAATTTTGTGTCTAATTGGAAATTCAAGATACTAGCATCCAGCTTCTACCCATTAGAAATCTTATTCACCCATATATTTACAGAAAATGTCCTCATATTGCATAGGATGTCTATTTAAAGATTTTACTGACATAATTTCTTATGCTGAGCTTCATAATCATACTTAAGGTCTGTAATAGATTAAAATTAGCTTTACATAGACAATGATAAAAACTAATATTGTAACAGTAATTTGACGACTAAATAATGTCCACTATATAGGCAAGTCAGTCCAAAACTTTGTACATTTATTAATATTACTATTTACCACAGCTGAAAAAGATTGGAGGTGGAGGTTTTGGCGAAATATACGATGCTGTGGACATGCTTACCCGAGAGAACGTTGCACTAAAAGTCGAGTCAGCTCAGCAACCAAAGCAAGTTCTTAAAATGGAAGTAGCTGTTTTGAAAAAGCTGCAAGGTAAGGTGGACAAAGGATTCTTGCACAGTGGATTGCTAAGCCTCGGCCACACATTCCTAAAAAGGAGAGATAAGATTTTTTTCTCTCTCACTTCTGTCTTTAAAGCTTGAGAAATACTAATGAAAAAGTTCAAAGTATCAAAGTGTGTTATATTGATTAGTATGGATGGTCAAATATGGGAAGATTTCAAGGAGTGCAGTCCCATATATGCCTACTCCAAAATAATCTCTTTGAGCTCCATAGGGTTTACTTACTCTCAGATAAGTGTGTATATTGATAATTATTGAAGTTAATGATGAACCTTAATCTGAAGCAAATGCAAGGAAAGCAAGTGCTTACTTAAGAGAGAGTATGTGAAGAAGATGGGGGGTGAACCTGTGTCTGTTGCTGTTAAGCTACACTCTTGGTAATTAATCATTATCCCTTTTGGTTGTAAAAATGGTTGGGCCACCACAAAGTCCTGTACAATGCCTGAGATTACTGTATATCTTACTACTCTCCCTGTCCTTTGCATATATCCTAATGTTTTAGCGTATTAGGCAAATTATCAGCTGAGTATCTGTGGTACTGTCAGGTTGTGTGGGAATATTCATTACTGATTGGATGCCCAGCTGTCTTTTATTTTCTTATAAGGTGGACAGCAGTAAGGTTTCTTTTTTTCTTCTGGAGTTGTGAAGACTTCTTTGGTTGTGTAAGAATTTGAATTTGTATAAGAATATAGGAAACCTCACAGGGTTCTTGTTGTGGGGATAAGATTGAGAGCAGGATGAGGGGAATGATGTAAGCCACCTTGAGTTCTTTAAAAAAGAAAAAGGTGGAATAGAAATCTAAGAAATAAATAAATGCTGTGCTTTTTTATAAACAGATTTTGGTGCCCATTTATTTAGGCATATTTCTTATGTACAAGACTATCATTGCTAGATATGCAACTTCATACAAACAGGTTGTAACACCATACAGATGGTAAATGTTTGATTATTGTAAAATGTTAGATTGGATATGTTCCTCATATACAAGTAGGAATAGCAGAATATTAAACCTATTTTTTGAAAATATGATAGTGGTTATATATAGTGTTGCTGAGTTTGTAAAAAATAATTTGAACAGTTAGGAATAAGGAACCTGACATTGTTGGAATGAACCATGGGGCTGGCATCTGAGTTGGACAGGTCACATGCATAGTGGTACATGCTGTATGTAAATATGCCAATACTTAGCCTACTTTAAGGCTACTTTTCAGGTGTCTGAAAACCAGATCAGTTTAACAAGTGTTGGCTGCTTGGTGTTGCTTTAGAAATTGTCCTTTGTTACTAAATATTAGCTAAATATCTGGAACAATTTTATATAATTTATATTTTATATTATTTTTCTCAGTTGCCTACATTGCTGTTATGCTTTGGTTTCTCTGCATGGCTTAAACCAATAAATATAACAGCATTCATTTTCTTGGGGATCTTTCCTTTTGGGTTTTTTTTTTAAAGATAGATTGGTGAGCTTCCTTCTACCTTGATTCAGAATGCGGTCAGCCCTTCTACACTTTCTCAGAGAATTTTTGAGAGTTCTGAGAAATCCTGGAAAGACCAGACACATTCCAAGTAATTGGTGCTCATTGGTACTGAATTTCTTTTCATGCTGCTTTTTGGTACTAGTTGGTGATTGGTACCCATGAAATACCAGTTGATATTTCCTTTCATGTTGCTTTTCTTTCCCTCCCTTTCCTACTTTTCCTAAACATACCTTTTAAAGAGGGGTAGGTGGACTATAGCTTTTGCCCTTCCATTTCTCCAAGATTTACATTTCAGCAGCACTGACGGGTAAGATTGCTCTTTGGTGAGGATTTAAAAACCCTGTTCAACTGCCACTTTCTGGGAACATTTATAATAGAAGTCTTCATTGTCAAAGCCTTGGGGCCAAATGAAGACCTTAGGAGCAGCATCTGTGGTATCATCACCTCCATATTTACTGGTGGTGGAAGGTGAATATTGAGCATATGGGAAGGGAAGATGGCAGGGGTAGCTTGGAATGGTGTGGAGCATGTTTGCAAGCTGAGATAAAGTTCAGAGGACTTTTAGCTTTGATTGTAAAAAGCTATTTCCAAATTGCTGCAGTGTATTTTCCAAGCCATCACTATCTAGTTCTGAAACTGATCCACGTAGTTATTGGTTATTTGCAAAGAGTTGGATCTGTGTTTGTGAACAGCTGTATAACTTAGTATGCCTCCCAGGACTATTCAGTTTTGATTAATATAAACATAGATAAGTGGTGTAACTGAAGCAAAAACAAAAACTGAACTTAATTAACTTTGTAAGTTTGTTAGACATATTTATGGTTGCTGTCAATTGGTAATGACATTGTTTATGCTTAAAGCTAAAATATCTGTATAACAGAGGAGTAAAACTTAGGTCCACTTTTGTATTATATTAACTTTCACCAACAGAAAAGCAGATTGTTACATTCAACCCAATATGTTAATCCCCTTTTCCCTCTTTGTTCTGTAGTGTGCTTTTTCTTTTTGCATCACTTCAGGTTTGAATTCCTTTCTCTATTAACCCTTCCAACTTTTCTGTCTTCATTCTTTCTGCACCAGTACAGTGCTGCATATATCTCTCACTTGCTGTCTTTTTGTTTCGATTGCTTTGTCCCATTTGCTTCAGTGGGATATTTAAGTACATGGGGTTAAATCCAATAATGTCATCTACTAATAGAAATGCTTCCATCAGTGGAACTGGGGTCAGTTTGTCTCTCTCTCTCATTCTCTCATTCCATTTGCCCTCAAAATCCATACCAGTTGGCCAAAAAACTGTACAGTTCAGATTCTTGGGTAACATAGAGGGCTGCAGTGGGAAGAGAGGTAGAGAAATGTTAGAAATGACTGAATCAATGAATCAGTATTATTTACTTTTTCTGTGCACTCTCAAAGAAGGAATCAAGTGAGCATCTTGAAACTTTAGCTTTTTCAGGTGGAATTGTAGGAGTTAAGTGATGTGTAAGTAAGATTAGCTTACACAGAAGACTAATTTGGTGATACTCAATATAGCGGTACACTGTAGAATTAAAACATAACTGCTATTTTAGTATAAATATATTCTTTCTTCTCTGGTCCTCCTTTTTAAGTTTGTAATGGTTCTTGTATTTATTTCTTCATGCCATGTGATCTGTAATATAATATGAATAGTAAAGCTTGTAGCAATGTTTCAACACTTAAGAGTTTTTTTTATATTTCTTTACAAGCTGCTTGCTCCATATGGTTTGTATTATGTGTATGTGTTTACCATATATAGATTTTGTGAGATTATATATGTAATGGCATACATGTAAGTGTACATCTCTTAATAATGGATAATAGTGATTCCCAAACCCTTTTGGTCATGGAAACTTTCTGAAGACTTTTTTCCCCCATGGAACCCTAACTCTATCCCTGATTATTACCAAGCATTGTGAACCCACAGTGTTCTTCCTTCATTCATCTGCTCCTGTTGCCTGAGTGCCTTGCATAACATAATAGGTTTGGGGAAAACATTTCAAATTTAGCAAAGGAATAAAGCGATTATATGGTGATATCCCAAATGAATTCTTTTGATTATTCCCAACTCTACGCAGTAGAGTCCTAGGAACCAAATGACATGATGCATTTCCTGTTTGCTGCTTGGATGCCAACTGACAATAGTTGGTCTAGTGTGGTTTCATTTTAAAATTTGTTTTATATTTGATTTTTGAGATTTTTCATGGAACACCTACAAAACCCTTGCAAAACCCTAGCGTTCTGTGCAACACAGTTTGAGAACTGCTGCTGTAGACTAGAAATAACCATTTGCAAGTAATTATAAAATTATAAAAGTAATTCCAGTTCTAAACTCCTTTTTGTACTTAAGAGATGGTATGGAGACTGATGAGGAACTATCATTGGTGGAAATAAATTGTGTATTTTTTCAGAATTAGAATAGTTGTGAGGACGATGTGTGTCTTAAGTTCTATTCTGAGAATCACATCTACTTTTAGAAGAGTTGAAAGCAATGCCACAATGTATGGTTATCACTCCAAGAATCTCAGATGAGATAGAATTAAGAAAAGCCTCCAGGGAATGGATAAGCCCATACATAGCAGGCAGGCAGGTACACAAGCTTATGTAGTTATAGAGTTCTGATTGCCTCCTTAAAGTTATGCATTAGTTTTCTTCCCTGTCCATCTAATGTAATGACTGCCTTTCCCTCCCTCTCTTTGCTTTTGTTCATGCAAGAAAATGTTCCAGCATGCATTTCTATTTATGAATTCCTTCTGAAGTTCATTTTCTCATAAAATATGGAGCTGGCATGAATATTGTAAAATAGATTTGTCATATAGATAGATGATAAGATGTTTTTAGCATTAGCTGTGAAGGTTTTAGTCCCAAGAGTGTGTTCCTCCATTCAACAAGTTGACCTCTACCAAATTTTGAATAGTGATGCAAGATAAGAATGAAGAGGCAGATTAAAGTATCTTTAATCAAGCTTAAACTACATGAAGCTTTCAAGTCTTTCTTTATAAAATGTAATCTTCATATAGGGGCTTCTTATAGAGAGCCTTTCTTACTTGCAATGTCTCTTTCTCTCACTCTCTTTGTGGGTCTTCACTTTCTATTTTTTCTCTAGGGCACTCTTGTTTGCATCTATTTTGTATTTATGTGGCGTTAATGCACTGTACCAGTTCTATAGCCTTTCTTTTCTTCCTCTCATCCTTCTTAGGTAGACATATTTTAATGTTCCTGCCACTTTCTGTAAGTTCTACAATTTCATAACTATGGCCAGATCCAAAGAATTGCACAACTCAGAATTCTGCACTTTGCGGGAGGGAGGGCCTTTGAGCTTTCACTTCCCAGATTTCAGGTCCCATGCTGTCCAAGAAACATATTTTCAAATTGAAGAACCATTTAAATGTTAAGGTGTGTCATTGCAGCAATGTATGCTGTTCAAAGAGTCAAAATTCTACCAGGTATCAGTGTATGCTAATAATAATTGTCTGGA